CCTCCGAGCCGGCAAATCCGGTGCCCCACGTTGGGCGCCAATTGAAATGCAAATCAACTCAATCGATTGATTATTCTTGTGTATCTGCCCCTGGCCAAATTAAGGAAACAATGCGTGCATGCTCCCTGAAGTAATTCACACCAGACACAAGTTTCAGGTAGTTGAATAACTTGAGGAATGTTTATTCAGAGGGGACGGCAAGTCCTTTTTAAAGCAAAATGACATCATAAGCATTGTCAGAGATAACATGGAATAATACGGTATTAATTGGTTAGGTGTTAAGTAGTTGTCTTAATGCTCTGCCTACTAAAGGTGATGTCACTGAGACCATGAGGGTCTCCCCCAGATTTCAGCGCCATCTTGTTACACGAGGTAGTTAGTCAAAATTATGGGGAGGGAGGGGTTAGAAACTTCTAGCAGCCATTTTGTCTAAATATGCGTGAATAGCTTATCTACTGATTTCAGTGTGATGGGTAAATAGACATTTTACTAACTACAAAGATATATATGTATATGTCCATATCTTATTTCCACAACAGTATAGTTCTCTTTCTCAACAGATTTACAGACAATGGTTTGTATTGACCCCAAATATATTTGCATAATGCTATCAATATCCCCTCTGAGGTGCCATTTTTCCAAACTAAACAGATTTAAATTTAACCTTTCTTCATAACTAAAATGCTCCATTCCTATTATTAATTTTGTAGTTCGCCTTTTTTAGAACATGTGCACAAAATTGCACAAGATATTCAAGGTCTGGCCTTACCAGTGATTTATAAAGAGGCAAAATTATATTTTCATCCCGAGAATGAATGCCCCTGTTTATACATGACAATACCTTACTGGCCATGGCAAGTGTCGATTGACATTGCACATTGTTGCCTAGTTTGTTGTCTATAACAATTCCCAAATCTTTCTTGTGTTTTGTTATCCCAAATTTACTACCATTTAGGGTGTAAGCTGCTTTTGCATTCTTTACTCTGAAGTGCACAAGTTTTCCTTTTTCTACATTAAATTTAATCTGCCATTTGAGTGCCCAGTGCCCCCAGTCTATCTAAATCCCTCAGTAAAACAAGCTATATCCTGCTCACATAGTATTACTTTACAGAGTTTTATGTCATTTGCAAACACTGAAACATGGCTTTCGATGCCTGTTTCAAGATCATTTATGAATATGTTAAATAGAAATGGTCCCAGAATAGAACTGAGGGACACCACCAGGGCCGGCACCTCCTATAGGCCAATTAGGCAGCTGCGTAGGGCCCTGCGGTTTTATGCTCATTTGTGCCGCCCCTCTATCAAGTTGGCGCCCCTCTATTATTTCTAGCATGCTGTCGGCCATGTTTCCAGGCGCTAAGGAGCACTTACATTGCTGCTCACTAGCGCTCGGTAAAACACCGGTCCGGTGGCATACACAGCAGCCCTCTCAGCCAGACATCCATTGCAGAAAGCGGCAGCAGCGCAAGAGGGCTTCAATTGCTCACTTCCGCCCCTTCCCCTGTACGTGGGGACAGTGTGTGGGAGCATGTCAGGATATGTGCAGAAAAAGGAAGTATTGGGGCCATCAGGCACAGGCAAGATGGACATAGAAACAGCAATGAAGGTAAGTTGTGCATCAGAGAATGTGTTAGTCTGCTTCATTCAATATGTTTGTGTATGTCAGTCTGCATGGGTCAGTGTGTGTCTGCATGGGTCATTGTTTGTCTGTATGGGTCAGTGTGCATCTGCATGGGTCAGTGTTCTCCATTGGTCAGTGTGTATATGGGTCAGTGTGCGTCAGTCTGCATAGGTCAGTGCGTGTGTGTTAGTCTGCATGAGTGGGTGGAGCGAAAGGGGCGGCAAAATATTTTTTGCTTAGGGTGGCAAAAGTGCTTTCAGGGGCCCTGGACACCACTTACCACTTTTGTCCAGCTTGAAAATCTATCATTAATGGCAACTCTTTGTACTATATTTTTAAGCCAATGTTCTACCCAAGAACAAGAATTTTCTTCTAGACAAATTTCTTTTAGTTTGAACACTAACCTACTGTGAGGTACCGTATTAAATGCCTTGGTAAAATCCAAGTAGAGCACATATACTGCAACACCCTGATCTATACATCTACTGACCTGTTCATAGAATGGTTAGAAAAGGATGTTTCATAAAACCATGCTGCTTATTTCTAATAACAATCTTCTTCCAAATTGGTTCCTGAATATTAATTATTCATTAATAACTCTTCAAATACTTCCCCATCCACAGAAGTTAAGCTCGCAGGTCTATAATTTTCAGGAATTTTTTTTTAACCTTTTTGAATATAGGAACCAGAATCTTGAAAGATTAAAAACAGAGGTTTACGTATTTACACACTTAGCTCCTTAAGTAGTTGAGGGTGAATAGATCAGGCCATGGAGCTTTGTTATATACTGTATATATGTTTGAATTAGTTATTTCCTATCCCAAAGGAACTGCATTACCAGTTCAATAATGAAAGAAAACAATGGAATTGGAGTGTCATTATAAAGCGTTAGCTAGAGATATGTATGTAGTTTACAAAGGCTTGTGTACATTTTTGCTTCAAATTTGATTCTAGGAAGTTGACAAAAGGTTGCCAGATTTGGAGTATTGTTATTTGGTAAATTTTCCATTTATATTGCATTCATTCAGCCAATTAATAAGAAAAGAATGTTGTTAAATATTTTGGAGTGTAAAATAGTGATGTTTGGAAGCTCAGTTTGTGTCAAATAAAACAAAATAGAATTCTTAATCAAAGCTAAAAGTATGAGAAAGGCTTTTCTGGGGTCAAATCCATTTTGATATTAAAAGCAGAGATTTTAAGAGATTTCCAAAATTTCAAGACAAAATTGATCCTTCTGATCACATTCTGGACATTTGGATGAGTTTTTCATTTACAACAGACTCTTTTAAAAGTGAGGTAGACCTGATAGTAAGTTTTTAGATGCATTTCCTGGTATGTAAACATACCATATGAGATAGAGTGGTCAGGACTAACCAATTATTCCAGTCAGATTCTTGACGATGTGTGATGAGAATGTGAGAAAAGCTCTGAATTTGTAGGTATTAAAATAGTCATACCAGAAAGTAAGGTTATTTATCCCTTAATCCCATGAAGGATAGAATACTTTGTGATTGAAAGTTCAAACAGTCTCCCAATCCACCCTTGGTGCAAAGAACATGAGAGTAACCTGCCTTTCCCTCCTGGAAAAGAGGGTTACCTAGAAATGGCAGCAAGCATTTGTCTTCACCTTGGAGCATAATAAAGGATTATTCTTGCTATAATGTGTATGTACAGTTATTGATTTAAATGGATTGTAGGTCAAAATTGCTGATCGTGAGCAGGAATTGTATATTTGTCCTATTGAATAATACAAGCTAAAATAAGTGTTTAAATAGCCTTAGGATGTCAGTGATTGGTCAGTTCTGCCCATGTGACGCAAAAAAAATGCGTTTGTATCGCCAATGTGATGAAGCAAGAATGTTCACGTCACTAATGCAACTAGAGGAGGCAGAGCTATAAAGGGGCTCCAGCCTGAAGAAGATGGCATCCAACAGAAGGCCAGATGGAGATAGGACAGCAAGGAAGGTGGACTAAAACAGCATGGCAAGATAAGCTCTGTCTCATGACGTTGATAAGCTCTGTCTCATGACCATGCCAATCCGGTGAAGGGTTTTTTAGATTCCAGGTCCTACATATGCTGATATTTTCCTAAATAAATTGGTGTAAGGGTGAGTCTATGTGAGGAATGCTGATCCAAGTTCCATAGCTGTAGATTTGGAAATATTAACCCCTTAAGGACACATGAAGGAAATATTCCGTCATGATTCCCTTTTATTTCTGACGTTACTTCCTTAAGGGGTTAATATGGAAGCCTGTGATAGGACCTTATTGGTATGTGAATTATGACCTTTGGTGCACACACCTGTGCTTGGGCATCTAATGGAGACATTTTGCACTTGTGGATGTTAATTCAGAATTTTCTCCAGTTATGCCATATGTGCACATGCGACAAGCATATGGCACTGAGTAATAACTAATAAAGTAATTTAAAAAAAAAATAAAAGAAAGAAAATTGATTAAAAACAATTAGCACAACCAATACCAAACTTTCAGTAAGCTCTTTGGTTGTACCAAAATTAGGCACGTGGCAATTCCTCACTAATTGTCCATGAACTCTGTGACTTACCCCCATATATTTCCCAAGCCTAACACTCAGACCCATTTTACAGCCTTTGACATGTATCTGTGTCACAGTGCAGTTGGGTGGGAGGACGGAGCTGATCAGCAGATCTGTAAACTACAGCAGATAACCTCTCCAGGGACTGAAAGAAAAGCACTGAAACTCATCATGACAGCCTGAGAAGAGACAGCAAGAGGAAGGGGGGAAGTGCTGTAGATTGTAAATGTATACAGCTAATGGCCCCAAAAAACAGCAGGGCATGTTTCCCACACTGGGAGTAAAAGTCCACTTTACTATTATAGGCTGCTATGCAATATTGGAGTGGTCATAGTCTTCATTATTGCAATGCTGACATCGCTTTAGTTTATGAGAAATATATATTTTTTTTATTCAATACTGTGGGTTTTCTGAAATCCACAAGTGTCAACTGCCATCCTATAATCATTATGTTTCTTGCTGCTGTCAATGTTCTATGCAATCTTATAATATATCTCATATCTATGCAACACAGCCGCTAAGACTGAAGGGAGGATAGGAATCAGTACCAAAAGATGTAATATGTTTGAGACTAAATGACAATGCTAATCACAACTTTATGAAGTAGGATATTATTAACAAATACCACAGAATATCAAAAGTTGGTTTTTCTTTTTATTTACAATTTTTTACTTGAATCCAAAAGTGGAGATTTCTGTATACAGATTAATGCATTAAGATGGGCATTGAAACAGTGTTTTATTTGCAGAGAATCATTCTATATTACAAACACATAGAAGAAGGTCTGACACATATTTAGCACAAACATGCAAGGGCAGAGGTGTCAAACATAAGGCCTAATGTATGCAGCAAGAAACCAACAAGGCCAGAAGCAATTCCCATCTACATTAACTACGACTTAATAATTTAGAGGTACTCTAAGCACCATAACCACTACAGTCTGTCATTGTGGTGTTGGTGCACAGAACTCCCCCTTCTGCCATTCACTGCATGTGTGATCTTCAGTATCCTCTGCCAGTTTGACTGTAACCTGGGAGCAATGAACAGCTTCCTGTCAGACCAGGTAGAGGAAGCAGAAGATCCTCCACGTAGTCCGCTTAGCGCAAGATGAACAGCAGGCACAGGAAGTGAGAAGGAGGTGTGGGCACAGAGGAAGGACTGGTTGAAACAAAGAGGTGCACAGAAGGGCTGGGAGGCACATAGAAACACACAGAAGGGCTGGGGGGGCAAAGAGGCGCACAGAAGGGATGGTGCACAGAGGGCTGATGGGGGGAAAATGAGGCACATAGAAACGTTGGGGGTACAAAGAGACACACAGAGAGGCTGGGAAGGACAAAAAGATGGACAGACGGGTTAGAGGAGCAAAGAGATGCACTGAGGGACTGGGGAGGACAAAGAGATGGGACAGAGGGGATAGGGAGCAAAGACACGCACTAAGGGGCTTGGGGGGACAAAGACACAGAGGGCTAGGGGGACAAAGAGACACAAAGAGGTGCTAGTAAGACAAAGGTTCAGGGGAAAAGAGACACAAAGAGGGGCTTGAAGGACAAAAAGACACACAGAGGCGCTGGAGGGGGACAAAGAGACACACAGAGGCGCTGGGGTGGGGACAAAGAGGCCCATAGAGGGGAAGGGGAAAAAAGAGACACACAAAGGGGCTGGGGAAGAAACAGACACACAAAGTTGGCAATTTTGTTTTTAGGTGTGCAGAGTGCAAGTAGCTGGTCTTCAACTGGCCCTGTATAAAACAGATTATGAAAATGATGACACTAGTACATTCAGTTAGAATAAAGAGATATAGGAGATGAGGATTAAGCATTAAATTCATCTCTCCATAGCCAACGCATCTGAGACCTCTGCCCAAGGAAATTCTTATTAATGAGTAGTTAAGGAGTTAATTTATCATGTTGCAATGGAAGATGACATTGAAGTCTCCAACTAAGTCTAATCCTACAGATGTTTTTCACCTTACTGAAATATCTCCCCCTTTTAACCATTTAGAAAATCTGATATGGATATGGTCTTCCTCAAAGGAACCAACTAATAATAATTTGTGAAGGCTACTGGTGTACTAAATTGAACATATTCCAAGCAGCACATTCTAACGATGGTAAAACAGAAGCATATAAATATGGTACAGTAACATTCAATACATTCTGTAAAATGAAAAGAATGAAATATATGCACAGTGTATTGGTCAGCAGTGTTCCTTCTAAGCGCTATTTTGTTATAGAAACTCTGTAACTACATTATACAGATCACTTTTTTCTTATGCAAGCTATCTGCATGTTTATAATTGTTTTAAGTATTCCTTTCCTGACTGTTTTGTGAATAATGTGCTAGTATGGAAGCCTGTGAGTCAGCAGACATTCTACATGTATAGCTAGTATTACCAATATTCAATGTTTCCTCTGCTTCTGTTGATCTAAAAGTGTGATGGACTTCTCTGAATGGTCTATGTTCCTGATGAGCATTTCCAGTCTCCTTTTTATTTTCTTCTGATCCTCTAGTGCACATCCAATGATGATGGACTGAAACTTCTGATCAATCGGCCCTTGGTTGATATCTGAAGTACATGCCCCATATAGGGAGATCAGTTGTTTCCTGCCAGTCTCCAGGTTGTCTGTCACTTTCTTTGCAATTTCATCAATGACTGCAGTAGCATGCTGGAGGGCAGTGGCCTGCTGTGGGTTTCGGATAGTTTCTAAGGAGACCTCCACAGTGAGTGTGCGATTCATTAGTCTATCTGCTGTTATTGTCAGCTCTTCTCTCTCACCTAGAACAAAAAGAAGCCATTCTCAAAACTAGGCACAATAAATAGTATGATTCCCTTAATGATGAACCCCTTCACTCCTAGTAATCTGTAGACACAGAGATAGTATGACCCAAGGTACACGAAAGATCCTGTCATATACTAAAGGTAGGGATTCGTTTTTCTATTTTTGTTTTACATAGACTTAATTAAAAAAAAAAAAATTGATGATCATTAGGTTAAAATTGATGATCATTAGGTTACAAAATAGTATTGAGGTGACAGTTGTCCTTTAATGCATATTCCTCAGCACTTTAATAAGTCATAAAATAAATAAATATTGTATTTTAAGAAGCATTACCTGGCTCCCCCCATTGTAAGTAATCAAACCATTTTAGTTTTAAATATGTTGTTTTTATTGGAGTTCAAAAGATATAGGGTACAGAAGAAAAAAGTGATTGCAGGGGAAGCAAAACGTCAGTTGAATCAAACCATTTTAGAACAATTTGACCTCTGTGCAGTGCAGGGCTAATTTATTGGCGGAGAATGTCAGCTGTCTGCTCTCAGCCAAAGAAATAAGCTCTGTGCCGCCGGGCTTAGCTCAGGCAGAGAGCATCTGCCTCCACAAGAGGCAAGAAACAGTGCCAAGTGCACCACAGATAAGAAATCAAACCAATCTAAAATAATTTAATTTGACTAATTACATTGGGTGGGGGGCTGTCAGGTCACTCCAAAGGAACAAACCAAGCACGATATACCACTACAGCCTTCTGTAATGGTTATGGTGCATGGAGTGTTCCTTTAATATTGTAACTTTAAAAAAATTTTTTACTACAGTTGCATTGTCAATCAAAACATCTACGCATGAAGCACGACAAAAAAAAGGATTCTGGTAGTGGTTTATTGCAAACTTGGCAGTAAATATACTTAAGTGCCTATAAATATCATACAGATACAGAATGTAACGGCACCCCCAGGCATAAAAGGGGTTAAACCGCCGTTTAGAAGATCTTCCCCTTCCAGAGACCCAGGCACAGCTACCGCAGCACCCCAAACTCCCGAACAGGATACAAAGTAGCACTCCAAACTCCCAAACTGGAACCTCACGAATAGCTGCTAGCAGCTGAACAGGAAAAGCACCCAAGCGGCTTACACTCCTGGTAATCAGCCTCTTACAGCATACAGTAAATCCCCCCCAAGAACGAGACAAAGCTCCGTGTTGGGGGTCAAGCAGGAACAGCCAGAGCTGTGGGTTTATTGTTCTTATATACACATTCTTACACATTAGTACCACCCACAGAGTTTTGGAAAACAACCAATAAACACGTACAATACACTCAGACACTCCCACACAAAATCCTCCCCTCTGCCTGTGATACAATTACCTTACACAATGGCTTAATGTAATTATCACAGGCAGAGAAATACAGTTTTTCCACATTATTCATAACTTTAAAAGTATACATCACATTCACATAAAATTTAATTTTCAAATACAAACATATGTCAAAATCATCCAAATTGGTCCATTGGTTCAAAAGATAGATCAAAGTCCTTTGTGACCAAATGAAGCATGGCTTTTCTGCCCAAAACCAGTTCCACAGAGTCTTCTATCCTGGAGATAATTGGGAAGTAATCCGATTATCTCCAAGGACAGAGGCAAAACTCCATTGAACACATGGTAGCAAAAGACAGTAAAATACATAAAATACACAAGGTTACATTTATTACATAAAATACAGACATGCAACATATCCCCAGATAGCTTAGGTCCGAGCGCACATTATTACTGAATATACTCATTATGCGTCTGGTGGGCAGAGTGATGGAGCAGTCTCCAATCACCAAATATACAAACACACAAATAACAATATATATATGGCAATATAACCAGTCAAATGAAGTTCAAACAAAACAAAATTGCTTAGACCCGGTGCTTGAATCCAACAAATGTATTAATAGAAAATGGAAATATTGATAGCACTATAGGGCTTAGTTAAAAAACTAAAACGTAACTTTTATTGATCAATGTTTCAGTTTCATATTTAAAACTTTCACCAGGACAAGTTCTACACATCTTATACATCTACATATAGCAAGTAAACACTGGGGGTGAGATTTTTTTAATTACTTGATATTTATAGATGTGTAAGATGTATATAACTTAGTCTGCCCTAAATCGAAATAGAATTTAAAGGCTAGTCTGGCACCTGGTTATTTGCCAACTCAAGCAGCACCAAAAAATAAGATAACAAAGAAAGCATAAAGGAGCCCAAAACACATTGTACTCCTTTAAAAGCTCATCAAGAGTTATTTCATTTGAATTGTGTACTGAAATTTCCAGACTCTAAGATTTCAAAGTGTGCAAAACACAACACCCGTAACCGCCATTGCAAAGATCAGATTAAGGCAGTCAAACTTTGATCTCGCTGACACATCCAAGAGAAAGAAGCATTAGTCATTTTTTCTCCCTGCCCAGAACTTACATGTTTCAGTTTGATCTACAGTCACTTACTGCTCTAGCAATGAGATTCCATCTAAATATGTGTCTCTTACTGTGGAAGCAGTGAATTAATGGAATGAGCCAACATAGCTAACTTTCTTTGATTGATTGTTACCATCACTTGGAGCTGTCTCTTATAAAATGTTCAGAATAGGAACAGATACTTAGTTTTGCACTATAAGGGTTTAAATAAGTTTATCTTCTCTTAAAGAAGCAAGCATTGCTTATAAAGTTTATTTCTAAATTAAGTGGTTTACCTTTTTTTTAAATTTATACTAAACTGATTTATCAAAATAAATAAAAATCACTGTTTAGTATATATACCTCAACTGAAAACTTAAATACACATTTTTTTCATTGAAGTTAGTGTTACCATACGTCCGGATTCCCTCCGACATGTCCTTTTTTTGAGGGAAATGTTCATGTCTGGGGGGATTTCGGAGTTTGTCCTTCTTTTTGCGATTTAGCATGCGCCAGCGTCTATCAGCAATGCCAGCGTTACTACATGATGCCGATGTCATTACGCGGCCAATGTGTCACGCTGCCTTGTTCCTTCTTGCTATCACTGAGGAGATGAAGAGCTTTTTAGCTGGCGTCTTTTAGCAAAGCGGCCAATATGTTCCAGCTTCATAATTCACTTATCTCCAGTTCTCCACAGATATGATGCCCAGGATACCCCGGGGGGAGGGAGAAGGGTGGATGGAAAGAGGGAGGATTGGGGAGGGGGAAGAGGGTGAACCCTGGCAGGGTATTCAAGAAAAGTGCATTTGGGAGCGGGGGGATCTGTGCAGGTGTTGGGCAGGCTAGGCAGAGAGGAGGCTAGCAAGAGCAGGCCCAGGCATATGCAATAGCTGCAAAAAAAAAATGGTGGTGTCTGACAGAGGTGCAAGCATTATTTAATTTTACCACATGACAGGAGGCTTCGTATTTTGCATTAAACTCTCTTTACTAACTCACACAGCAGTAAAGAAAAGTGAAAAGATAACCAATCAAAATGCAATAGGAAGCATAGTATTCACAGAGATAAGGCTCCTCCTCCTCTTTCTTTACTGCTCCATCAGCAGACAGGTCAGAGTTTTGGCTCTTCCCTTACTTATCATGTTTCATACTGTTATTCTCATTATCTTTGATGCTTTATATATAGTAATTTCCCTTTTTGTCTCCTAGGATTTCTGTCCTTCTGCCTTACACTGTCTCCTCTCAGGATTTCTCCCCTACCCTCAGGGACTTAGATTGGTACCTTATTGTTTATATACCCTTACCTTTATTTATTGTTTTATTTATCATTGTTATTATTTATTTTTATGTTTCCCCCTTTTTTTCTGGGTTTTTGTTTCGTTTTCGGCATTTTTCCGATCTCCCTTTATGGGAGATCGGATCGTTGGTTCATCCTCGAGGGTAACGCTCACCCTCCTCACTATTTGTCCGCCGCGCGGCTTCTCAGCCGCACTCACTAGCCGACACAGCGGGAAACCCCTTTCCCGTCCCTCCGGCGGCCATATTGGATCTCGCGTCTCGCGAGAGTTACGGCCGCCATCTTGGGAGACCCACGGTCTCCGTTTTTTCGGCTCCCGACCGCGAGCTTGCCACACACAATTCAGGCAGGGGTCAGCAGTTTAGTGTATTGCCTATCTAACCTCCCATAAGGACTGTCAGCCCCATACAGTGGTGGACCACTATCAGTTCACTGATATTAGGTGGATTTTGTGCCACCTTCCTATACCTATATACCCTGTTTTCCCGAAAATACACCCTACCCTGAAAATAAGCCCTAGCTGGATTATCGGGGTGGGCTGCAATATAAGCCCTACCCCGAAAATAAGACCTAGGCATGCCACAGCCGACTGAGCGCTCTATAGAGAGCGCTCAGACGGCTGCTGCACTGCCTCACCTCCCCTTCCCTGGAGCTCGGCCACGCTACAGGGAAGAGCAGGTGAGGAGAAGATTGGAGGGGGGAAGGGGGAGGGAGTATTACAGGGAGAGAGGGAGAATATTACAGGGAG